GACTATAGCTCATATAGGGATATTTCATGAAAATTCCCTGCTCCAACTTCCGGCCTTGATTGTAAATGTGCAGGCTCCAAGCGCGGAGGCCTGGCGCCAGCGACAGGAGCGCCGGCGAGAGGACTGGTCAGGGTTTCGGGTTTTGGGGTTTCATTGCGGTCAGGATTCCTCATATCCTCACAGTCTGGGGTCAGAGAAAAGGTTTTAAGCTTTCAAAGTGTCCTGTGTTTCTGTTTTGTTTGGCCCATATATGGCCTGTAATCTGCCATGTGATTCCAGTGGGTTGCTTCAGGCCTTTTGGGGATTTCTCAATTTGTATGCAGTTCTATTCCAGGCTGAGGGGAGTAAATGTTGTGTTCGTGCCTTCAACGGTATGTCTGATTGACGAGTTATGTGGATTGCAAGTGCGCTAGCACAAGGAATGCACGTGCGCGGCAGATTCATAGGGATGAGAAAAGGGTTAAGGTCTGAGGGAGTTGGAGATTCGATTGCCCGCTTATTCAATGACGAGAATGAATTCGGCAACGTTGATTACAAAATATTGCTGCTTACTGCTTACTATCAACCCTGCTGTTGTAACTCCCGTCTTTACATGATATGCACCATACCTCTATGCATATCTGGCTGGAATCACACTAAGACCAGCAAAGGTTTTCTGTGGCTTTAGCAGGCTCTGGAAAGGTTGAAAATGACTGTGCATATGAAACTCAACCGTTGGAAGTGCATGTTTTGTGTAAGATTGAATCCACACAGAAAGATGCTGAGATTTACGCCGAACAATGGAGAATCAAGCAGAAAAGCAAGCGGTTTAGGGTTTATGCCAAAGGGAAGAAGAAAGAAAAGTTGCCCAGCTGGCGCAGGCGTGGTCGGTTGATGTCAGAAGAGTAGAGCCGTTTGAGGATGCGAAGGCAAAAAAGGTGAGCGCTGAGCCCCCTCAGTCACATTTAAAAAGGCCTAAGCCTGAGCTACACATTGGCCGTTGGCCGCTAAATCGCTAAACTCTCAAGCTTTCGCTCAGAGAAGTTAGAGAATTGCCTCTACAAAGTCCTACTTGCATAAGCGGCACCTTAGCAGAAGCAGAAGCAGGCCAAGGGAGGCAAGGATAGAAAGCAGAATCACACTTCTGATTGAGGCAGTGAGAAAAGGTAAGTCTCCGTGGATCAATCGCTTCACAATTTGGCGATGTGCCGAGGTTTAGTAAGGCTTCTAAGGAGGCGCAGCCATAAAAAGTATGGGATAAGTGGGAACGGGCACCTTGTGATACGAGGAAGCAAGCAAGCAAAGTGACGAATGTGTGTTTCGTCCTTTTCATGCATTCGTTCAAGCTGATCCTCTTGGGTCCTGTTGCATACAGCAAGCGCACGATGCCAAGGCGCATTGGCAGCAACATCTCCAAGCAAGAGGCAACCGGGGCATTTGTGGGCCCGGAAGTGGCAAACTATTGGTGTCAAACGCTAAGTTCATATGCCCCTAAATGTGCCCAGACCACCGGGATCCTCGTATTCGACGGGCCCCCAACACCGGGTGCTCTTCAGATGCTTCCAAGCTGCCTCAGCCCCAGGCTAGAAATCGTTGCGTGTCAGGGCAAAAGATGAGAACATTGATGCTTGTGGATGCCTGAAACTTGAGCTCACTTGAGTGAAGCCCTTGACGAGGCTACAAATAACTTGCTTCCCGTTCGGGCAAGTCACGCCCCGGGGGTGTGAGGTTCGGGTTTATTGTTCTCCGCTTAACAGAAACCACACCCAAAAAGTCAATGTGGCAACAACAAAGTCAACCCGGCTCAAGTCTTGTCATGGGGAGTACCGGAATGTGGGAGGCGTTGCTCGTAGGCAGATGTAGATTTTGCAGCCCTAGACATCCTGCACAATTTGTCCTTGAAGAGCGGTATAGATTCGTATAGACCTATATTACAACCTTACAAAACCTCGTGTTCTCCGTGCAGGCGTTGTCATGGTCTGCTGGTGCTGTGCGCCTGCGTCACAGGCGCAGGCTTGGCCCACATCGCAGAAAGGGAATCCAGTATCAGAAAATGATGAGGTGGCATGCAGGGATTTCTGGAGGGGTTTAATTGGGTTCAGTCTTTGGGCTAAGAGCTCAGGTCATGGAGGTCAGGCATATCCCATTGTACACCATCTGCTTGATCGCAGGTTGGATTAAGGTCTTTGCTCTTGTTGTATTGCAGTTTGGTGAAATCGCATCTTGAGTCGCCCAAACTGGGAAAGCAGCGTTGCCCAAACGTCAGACCTACACAGGCAGAGCGCATTGTGCCAGCAGAGAAGTCGCCGACAGTCGCAAAGCCAGGCGCAGCACCCTGATGCGTGCATCTCTTGACACCTCTGGGTGTATAGGGATGTATAGAGTTCAGGGACAGTGAGTATCATTTGATTATGCGATTTGGTGAGCGTATTTACGAAAATCTAGGGTTCCCAGGACTGTTGGTCAGTGTCAGGTATCGACTGTGCAGTTTGGAGGCATAGGAACGGAAACCGTCCTCTCAAGAATGCAGAGTTTCCGCAGATAATGCCCTCTTGAGGAGGAGCGCCAACATGGGCAACAACAATCTTGAGAAACTTTCATCTACGGAACTGTTTTTCAAGTTCGGATCTGTTGCCGCGCACGCAAAATGCAGCGTGCTTGACTGACACGATCATTATATGGAGCTCCCCGAATTTGGACAACTACCCAGTCTGGGACTATAGGATCTGACATGCCTAGCAGCATGCTTGAGTCCATAGGGGACCGACTGTGAAAGGAACCCTCAAGCTACAGGCCACGATAAGGGTCTCCATCAAGGCTAGTGCTCGACAATTTGAGAACAGACTGAACCAGTGCAAACGCCATCTTTGCGTTTTCCCTTAGCTGCACTTACAATGTTCTTCTGCCCAGACTTGCAGCCATCACGTGAATATACCCTCTACACCTACGTGGCAGCTCATGTGCATTGACCAGACCTGGCATCAACTCTCGTCAAGTAAGACTTTACCAGCAACAGGCCAACTGTTTTACTGGTAATGATCTGCTGCACGCCGCTCGTGAGGTGCTTCAGGTGGCCGTGGAGAGTCTTCAGAAGATATCCCACAGTTTCACTTTGTTGACAGTGGGGCTGACGCAACCACAAGACAACTGCTGCAAATTGATTCCAGCCTGGCCCACCAACTGAAAATTTTCGCCTCCTCAACTGAAGAGGCGAATCCCCAAGCTCAGAATCACTTACTGGTTGTTAGTAGGGATAATAGATTCCCTTATTCCCTACAAACCCTACACCCTAAACCTTACATATTCCCTTGTTCCCTACCAACACGCAGAAGGCTCGAGAAGGAACCAAAATCACCAAACCTACCGTGGCTTCAGTACAAACCTAGCTGCAAGGGCAACCCCAACTTGAGTCTCATATGAGCTACAATCTAAACTCCTTAAAGGGGGGTATATAGGGGATTATGTAGGGGAGTATTATGGAGGTTACTAAGGGGCATACTAGGAATCTAAACAACAGCTCAGATACATGCAATTGCGTTTTTTGGCCTACACCCTCAACCCTAAATATCTCAGAACTGCCTGGGTGTTCTGGAGGTCGGTCTAAGGAGGCGGCACGGACGCCCGGGACCGATGCGGCCAGGGCCTTTCTTTCATGTCCATGTACTGTGACTTTTTAGGGTTCAAGGTTTAGGGCTTAGGGTTTGGGACTTAGGGTTTAGGTTCTAGGGGGTTAGTAAGGAATAAGGGAAAGTTGGGAAAGTTTATTTAGGGATTGTATTACGTTATTCCGAACTAAGCACCAGTAAGGTTGTCGAAGACAAAGTCAAGCAAGGGATTGTGCCGGAGCTTTGGCATGATAATCCTTCCCATTTGTATTAAACGGCTCCTCCCCACTCCGCCCTAATGTATATATTCCAACCTGCATTTAATGTTAGGGGGCAGTCATCGTACAACCCAAATAGTAGGGCAGCAGGGGAGGAGGGGGACATAATGGGATCTTATTGGAATCTAACTAAAATCGAGTGGAAAATCAAAAAAGAAGAAACCGAGTAAATCTCAAAAATCGGAAGACACCACATGAAACCGAATGAAAAGCAATCGACATCAAATTGGAATCTTACTAAAACCTAGCCAAAATCAACTGAAATTATTGCTAAAATCCAGTAAAGTTATTTATACAAACTAATCGACAATTAATTCAATCAATTAAGCAAAACCAAGTTCAAATCCAGAAACAGTTTAAATCTAGTTAGAAGTTAATCAAAATCCAGTTTTCAAAACGTTTTTAAAACACAATGAAGCCCATTAAGATCGCATTCAGCTTTAAATTAAAAAGAAGTTCAAAAACAATCAGAATCCAGGAAATCAAGGAGGTCCCTAATCCGTGATAGTCATGCTAAGGACCCCCCCAACTCAGAGGATCCGAGCCGTAATGAACTTTAGTCTTTTCAAGTCCTGCAACCTAATTAAAGATCTTGGAATTCTCCGGAACCTGTATTTAGTTTAGGGTGGGTTTAGTATGAGGGGAAGGGTTTGAATAGGTATCTCTGTTGAGTGCTGGTCGTGACGGGTTTGTTTTCTCCGCCCCAGGTATGCCTCTGTTTCCTCCTGTGGAGTAGAAAATATTGACTGACGCTGGTAACTCTTTGGGGGAGTGGTTCAGAACAGCTTAGGCTTTGAATCGCTTCGTGTCTAGAGGCCTGCAGCCTCGTGTCCTCATGGTCGAAGATGCCTCGCATGCCTGCGCGAATTCCATGCCTCACCTGCCCATGCTAATTCCTCTGCCCTGTTGCATGCACTTTCGAAAGGACGAATGGGTATAATGTGTCTCAAGACAGGGAGTCCAGCCTACCTCGCAATTACATGCACCCTCGTTCTCACGGATTCTCACGGCAAGGAACAGAGCACACAGTTTGAAGACTGACCAGCATGGCAAGCCGCCCACGTCCGCGCATCGCTCGCCTGCTCAAATTTCTTACAGAGTAGCTGCAAGCGGCACAAGGCCATATCATGAGCATGCAAGATCTAAAGTTGAAAGTTGCGTGGTTGACTTGCAGTGAGTGGTCGACTTTCTGGTCTTGTTTCCTGCAAAGTATTCGTTCAGGCCTCAGGGCAAAGAGCCTGTTTCAAGAAGTCACATCGTCCGTGGCGCTGTGTGGCGCGGCGACGAGCCATAGCGGAGTGTCCTGGATTCGTCCAGGAAGCTTTGTTGGGTCCACACGCGGGGAATTCTTGGGATAGAACGCGTCAATGTGTGCTAAGAGTTAGTTTGTTGACTAGAACAAGGTGATTTCTAGGCCTGCAAGTTCCTGGTTGTGTTGTTTGATCTGCTTGTTTTTGGATCTTCAGGAAACGATGCCGAGATGCTTCAAGGAACTTTTTCCGGCAAAATTCTGGATTATGTTGTCCCAGTCAGAAAGTTCGAGGACTACAACAGGAATTTGATTAAACATTTGGAGGAAAATGTCCCCAATTGTCTAGTGCCATGTTGTTAACCCAGACCCGTGATGAATAAACACCCTCCCATTAATAGGGGCCATAATAAGGAGACTAATATCAAGGCCCTTAAAAGGAGGGGGCTTATTAATCAGGGGTCTCCATTAGGGTGTCCTTGGACCCGATACTTTCAACCACATCCAAAGCCCTGCCTCGCAGTCCGCGGACTCCGCATGAGCTATAGTCCAAACTCCTGAAAGGAGGGTTATATAGAGGACTGTAAAGGGGCTACTATGGGGCTTATTAAGGGAGATGCTAGGAGTTAAGATTATAACCCCTATAATCCCCTACATAACCCTATATATAGCAGTTTCCATGTCATTCTCCATTTTCTTTTCCATTTGATTCTCCATTATTAAGGGGGATACCTACATCTTAAACCCTATACCCTAATTAGTAGTTTCCATTTTATTTTCCATTATCCTAATATTCA